ACTTCCAAGCAAAAGAAAGATTAGGATTTTTGCTATTTATGCAAGTTTTCTTTCTTCCTTCATTCACCCTGAGGCAGCTGCTGCTACTGCTGTTGCTGTTCTTTTTTATTTTGGCTTCCAAAATCTAGCTGTGGTTCAAACATCCCCATAGCTAGCTATTTTGCATGGTTTCCCTGCAATACGGAGCTAAGATGTGACGTGATTCTGTTAAAACTTCACTTTATTGCTATACTGCTTAAATTGAAGGTTTGCTATTTGTACTGCTTTGGTGTAATCTTTTGATTATTTGTTGCTTAGTCCTTAGAATGACAAGTTTTATCTTTTGCTTCTCTCTAGGAGTTACTGTACCCACTTATTGTATCATTTAAACGGATTCAACAGTTAGCCTCATGGGAAGAGCCTTGGAAATCTATATTGTTCTTGATGTTGACTAGCTTTGCAATATTGAGGTTCGTTCTTGTCTTTTGCTTCGTTTGATCTGCTTAGCAAAGTTTCCACTCTTTAGATGAGCTTGTCATGTATAATTAGGATGAACTTTTCATATTTTTTTTAACACTCAGATTTTTGTTCAACCTAGTATGAATTAATTTTGGCAGGTTGATGTCAGAAATGATGGTAGATAAAAATCCATTTAGAAAAGAAAAACATCTTTTAGCTATCCATTCGTGTGATCCCAAAGGTTGCGAGATAACAAGTTGTGCAGTGAGGCTATATTCTGATGCATCCATATTTATTCTTGCCTAATATAAGATGGAACTTTATGTAGATTACAATTGGTCTAGTATTTAATGCCTGTGATTGTTTATCTGTAGGTTAAAGACTATTGCATATGGTGATCCTCTTTAAAAAAGAAAAAAATTTTAAAGAGACTCATCTAGAGTCAACAAAAATTTAAATTGAACCTTAAACAAATGATATATACTGGCCACTTCAGGGATGATTGAATCTCACCTTTTAACCACTTCTGTGCTCATTCTTCGAAGCTATGGACCATTGTTGGCTTCACAAGGTTGACCTTTTGTTTGACACATGTATCAAGAAGAAATTGACCCATATTCATGTACTCTAGCTTCTTATAACTAGAGGAGATCTACAAAATAGACTTTAGAGTTGGAACAGTGTTTTCCTTCTTGTGATCGTGTTCAGTTTGATCAGTTTAATGTTCAAAGGAACTTTGGTCTACTGTATTGGTGATCATAATGTGTTCTGGAAAGTAGTTGAGAAATCTTCTTGTATTTTTACTTAGAGAGGACTTCCACACGTGCGAACACACACTTTACAAGTATCATTCTCCGATGTAATACAGCTGATGATGTATCAATGGTTTATGATAGTTTTGGTGGTGTTTGATTTCTGTACAAATGTAAGTTGTCCCTTCGTGCATTTGGTTTCTTGTTTTCTGCAAGTTTCTAGTCATTGATAATATAGTACAAAAATTTGCATATTTTCTGTGACAGTATCTGTCGGTTTTTTTTTTTTTTTTTTTGAGGGTGAAATCCAAGGTTCCTTGTACAAGGCCAGTAGCAAGCTCTTAAGTTTCAAATTTTAGCACTTCCTTTGGTTAACACTGTATTCTGTTTGGTAGCGTCTATCATAAATCCTGCTCCCTCTTGCTGCCAAATTGTTTGGGCTCCATTTGAATGGTTTATATGGATGGATGTTGAGTTGCTATGAATTTGAGAAATACAGATGAGAATAATTTTCTAATTAATGAGAAAATGCTGGAAAGGCACAACTAGCCTAGCCGAAACAAGGGATGCAGCATGACGGTTCTCTCTTGACTGTTTAGTGCAAATATAGTGAATTGATATGCAAGGGTTTCTTTATTAATGGAGATTGGAATCTTAATGGATAAATGATGATTGATATAATTCACTTTATATCTGTCCATAGGCATAAGATGGATGGTTTGTTTGTTGCTTCATCAAAGAAAGCGAGAATTTTCATCAACTTAGAATACCAAGGACCATGGTTCAAGTTACCTATAGGTAGTGAAGATAAAGAGTATTAACCTGCAGGTTGCTTAGACTTCAAGTGATTATATTGATGCTGTTTTATGTCTCCTTTTCCTAGTCCAGGTTGAGTTGTTTAGTTTGGCAGTAAAAAACTTGTGTCTATTTGTTGCTGGAGTTTTGAAGTTTTTGCAACCACAGGCTCTTTTTTTCTCCTTGATATTAAATGTTTAACTCAGATCACTGAAAACAATGATTTTGTTGAAATCTTTTGACATGAATTGCAGGGGATGGATCAACTACATATTGCCGTCAATTTCTGTAATATTTGCAGGTTTTATGATCTGGCAAAGGTATACCAGCAAAAGGAGGCCTCTGGAAGCATTTAAAATCAAAGCTCCTCCGAGTAAGAATGCAGTAGAGCAGCTTGTAACATTGCAAGAAGCTGTCCTTCACGTTGAGGGCTTGATTCAGAGTGGCAACGTTGTTCTACTGAAACTACGAGCGCTCCTTTTTGCTATAGTACCCCAGGTATTGCCTTTCATCCTCTTTTATATGCAAACTTGAGATGACTCTGAATTTGTTGATGTATTATGTGGGCATATATCAAAGATTCTATCCTCATTTAAAAAAAAAAAAGATATACAATGAAACCAGAATATGAAGAGATATTTCTAATGTTACCTTACAGATATTAATAACTCTAAAAGAAGAAAACAGGATACTAACTTCCAGCTTTTTAAGTTCTTTTTTCAACTATCACCAATTTATTAGTGGCATTGACTTTTCTACAACTTGTCGACAAGCTTTATATGATATTATTTTCATCTATAACTTCTGATAGCACTTTCTTTACTACAATGATAAATTATGTGCAAGAATACTATGGAGTCTAGTTGCTGGAGAGCCCAATGACATAGCTATTCAGCATATCAGAATAAACAGATTGTTCATTCTCTGACTTTGAACGATATTGCCTTTATGGATTTAGTTGATGACTTTAAGAAATGATTGCAATAATTTCCTATTTAGGAGCACCATCTAATTCCGGGGACAACTTTCTGAACCTTGACAGCCAAGACATCACGTAGGAAAAAATAATTATGTTGGGAGAAGATAGGGCTCTAAACTTCCAAGTTATATGGCATTTGAGGGCTTGCTAAAAGAATGTTGGAGTATACAGATATAGAGACGGATTTCTGCTTTACTTCAAAGGATGGATGGGATTCCTAGGTTCTTATCCAATCAAGTAGAAGGCTCAATCTGTATTTCGTAGCACCTTATTCATATCTTGTGCGCTCTATTCTTGAAGTAATATATGCAACTCCTGTTAAGATGTTGAACAATGCCTCTTTATGAATAACATATGGTAGCTAGTGAGCTTCATGCTATGATGCTTGATCTTCACTGAAGTCTGCACCATTTCAACTCTGTCTTTCAAGTTTAGATGTCTATGCTGTGGGAATCCTTGGGATGTCTATTTCCCAAAATTTCACCAACTCAGCCTCTATTTCTGAAATTGACCTTATACCTCAACTAGGCTGAAGCAAATGCTAGCTATGGAAAAATTGGCCCCCATTAAGGTGCATCTACAATGCAACTTGTTCAGTGTGTAAATTTTGTCTATATCTCGTTACCATATGCAAAATGAATTGTATGTGTGATGGAAATCATATTCAGTTTGAATGAGTACAGGATGTAAAGTGATTCCGAGTTGATTTATGGTTACCTTAAAGTGATTCTAATAATAGTAGTCCTAATTAAAAATTGCTCAGTCTTTTGGCAAAAAAGAGCATTATAATCACCAACAAATTTCATTGTTCTGGAGTGCTAGTTCCATTTATTTGATACTCATTCTTTCTCCCATCCTCAGGCAACAGACACAGTTGCGCTCTCATTGATTGTCATAGCTGTGGCTCTTGCATTTGTGCCTCTTAAGTACCTCTTCCTATTAGCTTTTGTAGAGTCCTTCACAAGAAATATGCCCGCAAGAAAAGAAAGCAGCGAAAGATGGTTCAGGCGTATGAGAGAGTGGTGGTTAAGGATACCAGCAGCTCCTGTTCAACTTGTAAAAGTTGAGGACAAGAAGAGGAAATGAGTAGGATGACAAACATGACTTGCATGTAAATAGAAGCTGCAAGATTGTTATATCCCTAAGCAAATCATCTCCGTAATTGAGTTTTGTTTGACTTATAAACCATGATTTTCATTATTTTGTAGGTTCTTTCTTTTTTTTTTTGTCTGACAGGACAAAAAGAAATGGAACATTTCAGGTTCCTCTTTTTGTGGTCACGAAGCTGTGGACGACCTACAGTTTGAGCATACTGTTTCCGAGTTTTGTGTTTCGGAATACAGTAGATTGAGGCATTTTCCTGTGATTGTTGAAAAAGTTTAAATGTAAATGAATGAGAATTGTTCTCCGTCAGTGCTAAACTTGCCATCTGCAGTTTTTCCAGCAATCGATATCTGCAGCTGAAGCTTATACATCATTCTCAGTCCCATGGGACAAATGTCCAAAAGAAAATTGCTTTTGGATTATATATTTGGAGCTAACTGCTAAGTGCACTTGCAATCCCCAAAGCTTGTTCTGCAAACCTAGTGTATTTTTTCAAGTTTTGGACGTACGTATTGCTACTTAAATCTCTGAGTAGAATTAACCATAGACAAGGAGGAAAATTGGCTAATTAAGGTGGAGAATCAGTAAATACGTGAAGGGCATATGTGTGCTAAGTCCCTTTCTTTGAATTTTTTTTTTCCCCTTCAACGGTATAGGAGTGAGATTTAAGAGGGGAGAGAGAAGGGGAACTTACTTCTAATTCTTGGGTTCTCAATTTTAGGCATTAGACTAATACCTACTCGACCAGAGTCCCTAAATTCTCACTTAAATGACATACGGAAATAAAGGTTAGGACTTGGCTAGAACATGACATGACCGTAGCATAAATCAGACAGATGAAATCCAGATAGAGTTCTTGGATTATGAAGCACTAAAAGAGTTGTTCAAAAAATTAGAACTGAGAAAGAATATTACTCATGCCCACTACAAAGTTTAGAATTGCCATTGCAAACACACCAAACTATATATTTGCTTAAGTAATATTTTTCTGCAACATTAGACGTACAATCATTCTCTCCAATATTGTGTTGTTCAGCTTAAATTATGCTAATTATGTACATTTACAGTAAGTATGAGCAACATATTTCATTCATCACTCATTACATGATGAAAGTGTTGGACTTTGGTGGCCTACTGCAATTTGCAGGGCTCCAACCTATTGCTCCTTTCTCATTGTCATAAATCACCATCTTGTCCTGCATTGATATATCTACACGAGATGGCAGAGCAATGTAAGTGCCAAAAGACAATTTAGATTGGAAAATGTGTAAACTAACTGCTTTACGAAGTAATCCACATAATTTGGGGCGTGAACCAATTATATGAAATTGGCCATATTGAACTACACACGAGGCATGAATTTAACCTCTCCCTTTAAGATTTTGCATGTAGCTGTCTACTTTCAGACAATTGGTTAGGATTGGAATATTACCTCCAATGAGGTTAACATTCTGCAGCCCTATCTCTGTGCCATTCAGTATTCCTAAGCAAGCATTGCCTTTTGACTGGAGAAAAAACCTAATGTCAGTATATATACGTGTAGATAGTTTAAAGAGTTAAGACAGAATACAAGGACACAAAATATTGGTGCTCTTACAGAGATGATAAGATATGCATCAGGGGGTATCTCAAATTGAGTTCTAACTCTCTGGCCATGGTGGAAGCTCAAACCTAGAGGCTTGAAGTATTTCCTTACATCATGGACGCTCTTGAATGGTTTCCTGCCTCTCCAGCATTCTGGTAAAGTACGATCATCTTTGGCTTCTTTCAAGGGCTTCCCCTTCAGATCTTTTTCTATCTATAAGCATTAGGTCAATCACTAGTTTGCAACTTATCAAAGACCACTAAATTACATAGTGAAGTAGCAAATTTGTTAAAGTATAGATGCGCTAAACTCAGGTCTGCATGTACTAAGAAAGGGGGTTGAAAGTCTTTTTCTCAAGGCATGCAGATTCACGAGTCGTTGCTTTATGAAAAGCATTCTTAACTTAGCAGACTGAATAATTCACACAAGATGAAATGCAGTATTTATTTAGTTTAATGATTGAAAAGATGGAGCTTCTTGAAAGAAAGAAGAATGGGTATTAATTCTCATACCAAAGAAATTATAGCTCGATATGCTTGAGAGTTTAGGTAACTGTAAGAGCTCCCGCTGTCAAAGATAACATCAAGATTTTTAATTCCCACACCTTTTCCACCAAATGTGAGTTCTGCAGAACTGACTGAGTAGCGCTTTCTGTCAAAAATAACAAGTTGAGAATCTCTGAAAAAAGATGACAAGTCACAAATTCTTGCATAAATAAATGGAGTTACATTACAGTGCACACTATAATGTGTCTGTGAAAGCTGAATGAGTATGCATTACGTGGAATCCTGTGACATTGGTGCCCAATTAACTTGAGAAGCATCATAAAGATCATCCCCAAAGAAAAGGAATCCCCCTGTCGCACTTAGACAGTGGCCTATAATATTTCTGACAATCCCCTGATTATGGAGCTGTGAGACAATGCTGGAGTTCCCTTTCCCAAGGCCCAGTACTCCATCTAAAGGAGGAGCATATACACTAGGCAGTTGATCATAGCCACACCTATAGACAAAAGATCATCACAGAACCATTCAATTCACTGGGTTGTTGTCTGAACGAAGAAATTCAAGATACCCAACTGAATTCAACATTGAAACAAAAATTCATTTGTACAGTTCACAATCATTAGCTGTTTATCATCTGCACCCCTTTAAAAGATTCATTTACACTGGATTAGTCCACAGAAAATTTATATAACACCATTTCATTTTTTTTGGCTATAGGAAATAATCTGCATTTGATATTCACATCACAAATCTATGGGCAACCTGGACACTCAGATGAAAAAGTAATAGAATTTCCTTGAATAAATTACGGGACCTGCTATAATTTCCTGATCATATAACCTCTCTCAAAATCCTAATCATATATATATATATATATATATATATATGCATACATATGTACATACATGCATACATACATATATATATATTCCCTATGCATATCTATCTGCACGGAAAGTTGCAGTGATAACCAGGAAACTATAAAAGAATACCAACATTGCGAAAGATGGATAGACTACATAAGAGCAGAGTATGTCAAGAGAAGAAGCTGCTGTACTCACCCAAAAGCAAGGCGAAGGCCCAGTCGAATACCAGTGGTAAGGTTTAGAGAAAAGACATCGTTGACTAGAACCCCAAAGGATGAACCTCCATCTGCATACTCAACTTCATAATCACATTGTTCTGGATTGGGACATTCGTAGGCACCTGAGTGCAAAGAAGCACACAACGGGTCCCTACAAACAACAAGATCATTTGTTGGCCGATATAGCGGGTGAGGTGCCTACAAGATCAAAAGCAATTAGACTTAAAAAGCAGTATCAAATCGGTAGAGTTTGGTCATGAAATTGGAGAAGTTTTCAGAAATTTCTGTAATACTTAATTACAGAAGACTGCTGGAAGAAGTCAGGGCAATAGTGGAAAGTGTTACATAGTAAAATGCATTTATCATCAAAGTATATGAAAGAGCAACTAGTGCAAGCCATCATTCTTGATTGCACGTTATCCAATAATTTATTGCATGGAAGATAGAAACATTAGTAATACCTCAGTGCAACGTACGCAGGGAGCATCACATTGAAGCCAAGTGAGGTCACTGCCTGTATCAGGATCAAGAAAGTAGGGCTTTGGAGGCTGCCCTACATTAACTTGAGCAAAGTAATACCTGCAGAACATACTCAGGCAATATGATCTTGTGGCTGAGAAAAGCAACACACTTGAAAATAAGGTTGACCAAAAGAGAAGTTTCACTTTGCATCAAACTTAAAACTGCATTCCTATAGTAATCAAATCATGAAAAGCTCATACACTTTGCACATGTCCGTTTTTTATCCATTTAACTGCAGCTTTTTGCATCTTCATTTTCTTTTCTTAGTGGATGATTAAGCACATGAGATTCTCATCTAAACATCTGGAAGTAAATCACAGATTTCTGCATTAAATAGTTATATTCCTTTGACATGCACAGGACAAACCTAATTTGTGAGCCAAATAACAAACAAACAATTTTGCAACTGGTAAAGTAAAATTATGATGAGAAGTCCAAGTTATGAAATTGATGCAATATTTCTACGAAAGTTTAAAACTCTTTTCATTAGAAAGACTAGTGAATCATCAAGATTTCAAGGCTAATAATGAGTAAGCAAACATGTCATGAAAATCATAAGCTATAATGTTATGCTATTGGGTTATGTATCCCTAATCAACAGGGAAATACCAAAGAACAAAAATACTAGAAATTTGCTATAGCATAAGAAAAAGAAATGGTGATGAAGCCCTGCAGAGTTACAACTTATGTCTATATGTGGCTCAATCAATTTATACACTTTGAGAGGCCAAATTTTCGGTAAAAGAAAAATGAAACTAACAGAAATGACTATGCAGGGAGGTCATCAAATAAAACAGAGTTGCAGGGAGAAATTTTTTCAAGAAGTCGAGATATTTAGAACAAATCAAATTCATTAACTCCAATTAAGAATGCAGGACATAAATGAACATTAAGTCTAATTCCCCTGTAGATTATTATGTAAACTCCTGTAAAGGCAAGAAATTGAGATATTTAGCACACAATCCAACTTTTATTGACAATCAATCAAGAATAGAAAGTAAAAATTCACATACCCATCAGGATGAACATTGCCATAGAGTTTGAACAGGATAGAGGAATAAGAAGAAACTGGATTGGCCTCCGAGGAAGAAGCTTCTGTACTGACTCTGGACTTCCATTTGCACCACTTTTGCAGCTGATCCCTTGAACCCTCTACAGAAAAAGCAATTCCCAACAAAACCATCATCATCATTATCACTTTTATCTCTCCCATTTTCCTCTCTAGCAGCAGAATCATTACTCTCTCAGCCAGTAAAGGAACAGAACAAAACCCAAGTAGCTAGTAATCTACCCTCCAATGTCCATGACTTTGAGACTTATATTTGAATTATCTGAAGGGGTATTAGCTTTGCTTAAAAGATGAAAACAGGTATATCACTTTCATTGATTTACCTTCTTTCATATTCCATGTTGATGCTATTACCTTTCTTGCATACCAATTGATTCCTTGGTAAACCATGCATGTTATTCTTTGCTTTTGATAACTCCTAGATTCTGTTGGCATCATGGGATCAACAATGATTGAAATATTCTAGAAGCTAAAATGAAGCAACTGGAGGATTAGCTAAAAGAAAGATAATTAAAAGCCTTAGTGTAAGTTTGGCCGTAAATCTGGAGTTTAAATATTTACACTCGCAATAAAATTTAATAGTATGCAATAATGCATTCCTTTTGATCTAGAGTTAAGAATCACTCCCTTTAGCCTCTCCTAACTCAATTGGATTATTTCCCAGATAGATTCGAGGAGTAGGAGTGTAGGGGTTGACTACAATGTTAAAAAAAATAAAAAAAAATAAAAGAAAGATAATTGCTAGGAAGGACGTACTATAGAGCAATAACGATTTTGATTGCAATTGACAGAAGGGAAGCTTCTTACAGCTTTCTGCCCTGAGGTCCTTCTTGGCGTTGTTGGAACAAAGTGGAGGGGTTCCACGTGTAGGAGGACAGAACAAGCAAAATTTGTAGAACATAATTTTTATTTTCTTTTAAAGAGGGGTATAAGAGTACGTATGGGATTATGCTTTGAGGGAAATTGGGGACGGGTAACTGTAAGATTGCAATTTCATAAGTAGGGTATAGCTTTCTATATAATTTTTTAAACATTTTTTTTTAAATAGAATACTGGTGAATTTTAAGAAGTGGGAAGGGAGTAAGGGAGTTAGAATTTAGAATCTCTAAATATAGGGTATAACTTTTGCACAATTTGAATAATGGGAATTGAGCAATTTTTGTTTAATGTAAATGTTTTATATGCTTTTTAAATTACCAGAAGGCTTTTTTCCTTCTTTCGTGGCAAATCATTACACACCACCAGGTCCACCACAAGTATATGTAGTATAAATATGTGTTGGAAAATTTGTCAAAGTGGGCCTTCACAATTTTAGAAAACAATTTTTTTAGTCCCTCACATTTAAAATCAGTCACAATTGTTCCTGAGATATAAAAAAAGTTTATCCAATTGGTCCCAAAATTTGTTTTCGCTCACTTCTCTAGCTAAAAAATGAACGCCTCTTTTAGGTGCCCATAATTTCAAGGGCAAAAATGAAAATACACTTCATTTCCTTTTAAGAAACATATCAGCCACCAAAATCCTAAATATAACCTCGATTAAATAAGGGAGATTTCAACTTCTTCATTCTTTTATATCACGCTAACAACGGCGCTAGCGACGAAGATGTAAAGATCATATTGCTTTTGCCTTATATGCTGCGTTTCCTCTTTAGACCATAATTGAACTTTTGTTCAACACAATCAACAAAAAGCACATTCAAGAAGTAAGCAAAACAGTCCAAAGTAATTTTTCTTTTCGAATTCTTCTTTCTTGCTCAGTTTCCAGCTAATTGAGAGTCTTTAACAAGTCAAGTATTATTGAAATTAATCTACTGCACAATGGGGGATCATGTCACTTAAAATAGCGATAAGCACAATTCACCTAAAATGCAAGAACATCACATATGAAGAACCAATTTTCACCCCATATCAAGAACCAATTTTTTCCAAGACAACCAAAATGAAATGTGCTCAAACTTACTCCATAATTTGGATAACCAAAGTGTCTCCCTCCCGGATTTGCAGGTTTCTAAGAAATCACAATCATGAGCTCTTTGTCACAATGACTTCAATCATTGTTTGTTTCCATTTTACTCTTAAATGGGTGAATTTCTTAGATATCTTTTCTTATTCTTCTTCGTCTACTTGCTGGTGACCATATTGAAATGTTCTTCTTTGATTGGAGGCTTGGTGAATTACAATTAGGGTTTTGGTAGCTTAAAAAATGGGGGAATGGGAAAGCAAGGGTTTGGTAGCTTACATTTTCTTCTCTCTTTTTTTCAAAAAAAGAGGAAACGAAGTGTATTTTCATTTTTGCCCTTGAAATTATGGATGCCAAAGAAGTGAGCGAAGATGAGTTTTGGGACCAATCAGGCGGACTTTTTTATATTTGAGAGACTATTGCGGTTGATTTTAAATGTGAGCAACCAAAAAAGTTTTTTTTTTTTAAAATGTGAGGGATCAATTTGGAAAAATTTTCATAAGTGTTTCATATATAATAATGTGCATATTTTAATTTTATGTATAATATATATTATATTTATAATTTAAATATATTAAATTTTGTTATGTAATAATATAAGTAATTGTGTATTTATAGTGATTGGGCCAAACTTGAAATATGTCTAAAATCTTAATTGTAATGGGAGCCGAGTATGAATTTCACAACATGGCCTGAAGCCCAAAATTCAAAAGTCCAAAAATTTCATTTTTTTTTTTGAGTCGAATGTGGACTTGTCCAAACAATTGACAAGCCTATTTTGAACATCTAACTTTTAGAACATATTTTTTCCATTTAAAGAGGGCAATAAAAAGTACAAATGAGACCACGCTTTGAGGGAAAATAGGGATATGATAACTATTAGATTGCAATTTCATAAGTAGGGTGTAACTGTTTGTTTGAATTGCAAATTATTTACACTTTATTTATATAAATTGACTTACTTGCATCATCAATGCATTTTTCAACTACCTTTTTATTTCACATGTATCACATCAAAAAAGTGCTATAGTATTTTTTAAAAAAATTATCCCAAATAATCTCTTATGCAGACACTTATACGGATCCTAAAATTACTAAAAAGCCTTTATTTCCTCTTTCCTGGCAAATCATCATACAACCACTGTAACCATGACCACTGAATATAGTTTTTTTTTTCCTTTTTTTTAATAGTGTAAGTGGGAGGCCTCGAATCCAGTACTTTCCACTTACACTCCCTCCGCTTGTATCACCAAACTAGGGTTGCAAACGAATCAATCCGTTCGCGAGTGCTCATGAGCCGTTATATATCCCTAATATTTTTATTATTTATTAAGGAAAAATAAATATTTTATTCATTATTTAAAAAGTAAAATAATTATTTTTTATTTTTTAAACTCAAGTAGACTCAACTTTAAACTCAACTAGGCTCAAATTTGAGGTCGAATTCGAATTTGAATTTTACATTGAAAGGTCATCGAATTCGAAATCGAATTGGAGATTGATAAAATTGAGTTGAAACTTTGCTCGATTAAGCTAAAGTTTAACTCGACTCAACTCTTCTTCAACACTACACCCAACTCATCCCTTCCCTAGCCACTAAATCTACTTAATTCGTCTTTATTATGCAAATCACCCCGTTGTTGCAACCCCCGTCCCGCTGCGGCCCAAGCTGCACCCTTGGCAAGTGGAACAGTGACAGGGATGGAGCCAGTAAAATTTTTAAGTGATGCCACAATTAAAATAAAGATTTTTTTAAAGTTTAGTAAATAGTATTTGGAATAATAATATACATATAATAAGTAATATCAAGTAATGGCATATACAATGAATCAATAAGACAGCAGGATGTAAGGAACCGACTAATGTTCTACAACTCATTACACACACACACACACACACATATATATATATATTACCATATTTATATTTGGCTCGAGCAACCATTTCGAACCAAATTCATAAGTTAAGGAACATGATGGAAGTTTGTAAAAGTTAAAGACCAACTAGGATCATTGACAAAATTTTGTGAATGGAATATGATTTACTATTTGTGGAATAATATGGCTTATAGATGTGTTATTCCTTCCATCGCATTAAAATGTTGCATTTTTCTTCTTGATTCATCACAAAACTACTATCACTTACCAAAATTGAAAACTAACTTTAACTCCACTTTCCATTTTCACTCTTATATTTGGATGCAAAAGAGATTTGTGTTTAGTTATTATAGGTCCCACGTATAAGTGGTCATCAGTTGTTTCCAAGTTAAAAACAGATGTGTAAGTTTCAAACAAAGAGTGATCCTTTTAAACCATCTTTAGAGTAGTTGGCCACCATATATCCTTATGGAATGAGAAGTCTCTTACTTCCCATCAAAAAGTTGTCACTTAATGTGGTTTCTATTATATTCACATGATGACTCTTGCACTCATATAATCTGATAATAGTTTAGTTTTCGTCCATTTTTTGCGATTCTATTGGATCATAAAAAAAAAAGTAGTCCTTGTGCGTGTATATTACAACACATGCACGTCGAATCAAAGCATAAGCACTTAATAATGCATGGAAACACAAGGGCCCATCTTTGTTTTTCTTTTCAAGGACTCATGAAGCTTTTTCAACCACAGAGCTTTGGTTCAGTGTGTTAGGAAATTGGCTTAATTTCTTTTAGGTAGAATTCTTATTTGGTGTGGAAAGTAACTAGTTTCCTACTTAGATTTTAGTTACTTGAAGTAGTAGTCAAGTAAAGTCCTATTTGGTTTAGAATTAGATGTTATTTCCTACTCTATATGAGTTTAGGAATTAGTATTGGTTTCTAATTGTTATTTGGTTTTTTGGCCAAGTAATGTTCTCTATAAATAGGTAGATTGACATACTACAAACACACAAGAAAGGAGTGAGAGAATTCTTACTGGGTGAGAGGGTTATACAAGAGTTGGCGCTTGGGAATCAAGTTGTAATCTTGTGGTGTTTTTCCTCTCATAATAAGAATAAGTTTTTCTCCCCGTGGACGTAGGCTTGGTGATTAAGCCGAACCACGTTAATTCTTGTGTGTTGTTCATCATTCGTGTTAGATATTGTTTTCTATTAAATTGTTGGTCTTTTCTTTTTCAAATAATTGGCCTGATACCCTAACAAGTGGTATCAGAGCTCCGTTGGGGTTTTGGTTAATTATTTGAAATTGAGTAGGTGGTGGTATACCATGGGGTTTGGAACTATACAGTTTCCAATTCAACCGTTTAATGGAACTACAAGTTTCACTCTTTGGCAAAGAAGAGTGAAGGATGTTCTAATTCAACAAGATTTGGTAAAAGCGTTGAATGGAAAGAACAAGAAGCCAGAGAGCATGAATGATGATGAGTTTGAGGAGTTGGACGCAAGGTGTGCGAGCACGATTCGGCTCTATGTGGCGGATAACATCATAAATAATGTGATAGATGAGGAAGATTCTGCAGCAGACCTCTGGAAAAAATTGGAAAAGCTTTATCTGGCTAAAAGCTTATCCAATAAGTTGCATCTAAAGCGGCAACTTTATGCACTAAAGATGGTGGAGGGTAGCAGTCTCATGGATCACATGAATTCGTTCAATGGAATTTTGGATCAACTCCAAAAGGTTGGTGTAGATATTGAGGAAGAAGATAAGGCCCTTTTACTTCTTACCTCAGTCTCTGATTCTTACGAAAGTGTCGTGACAACCCTGCTGTATGGGAAGGACACTTTAGAGTTCGAGAATGT